CTCTAAAATTTGTTTCATTCCAACTTGGATCTTCAAGTTTTTAGCCTTCTGTAATGGGTATAAAAACTAAATTTCATAAACTTGATCTTATTATGAATTAATGGATATTTCATCTTATATATATTTTTGGTTAAATACCTTTGTGGTCCTTCTACTATTGAAAAAAGCTTCTTTTTAGTCCCTATATTAAAGAAATTCTCTTTTTAATCCTTCAAGTTTCAAATCCGGCCCCTTTTTAATTCCTCTTTTAAATTTTTATTGACGTGGCAAATTAATTAACGGAATTATCTAATTTATTTTCTTTGTATAAATGACATCAAAAATAAAAAAATAAAAAAATAATGATGTGGCATCCCATGTAAACATTAAACATGATATGTAATTTCTAAAAACTAAAAATTTAAAATTAACCTTAACCCTCCTTGTTCATTGTCCAATCTTTTCCCATGTAAACATCCCAAATCAAGAAAAAACAAATACTAAATCAATATTTTCACATAATCAAAGATCTAAATAAAAAACTGATAGCAACACGCGAGGAACCCAGGCACCTAAATTCGTGACGAACCCAATGGTTGGGTTTGTGACGAACCTGACGATAGCAACATAACAACATGCAAGGGACCCAAGGGCCTGGGTCCGCAAGGAACTCAATGGCTAGGTTTGCAACGAACCCTAAGCCTAAGATCATGACAAACCTCAATGCTTAGGTTCACGATGAACCTTGGCACCTGGGTTGGCAATGAACCCAGCAAACCAAGGCACCTAGGTTCACCTTTCCAAATCTGATTTCCAAAAGGTGAAGGTATAAAAAAAAAAAAAAAGAAGGCCAGAGGAATGAGAGGACAAGACAAAAAGAGGAAGAAGATGAGGGCAAATTAGTAATTAAAATCAAGTGCTTCTAATCACAAAATAACCTTTAAAATATTTATAATGGTAATTATGTAATTAAATGATTTTTAAGATTATATTAGACTAAAAATTTGACCATCACATTAATTTTTACCAAATGGATTTTTCACGTAATTTAAGTAAAGAAAAAAAAAATTTTTCCATTAATTAACCTATCATATAAGTCAAAACTTAATGAAGAAATTAAAAATGGGTCAGATTTTAAACTTTAAAGATAAAAAAGGGAATTTTCCTTAGTATAGGGACTAAAAAGGACTTTTTCCTATAATAGAAGAACCAAAAAGGTATTTAACCTGCTCCTTTAATCTTATCATTTTCTATATATCTTCCACTCACTTCACTCAATGATCCACTAACTTTATTAATGACTCTACTTAGTTTGATTCAAGTGAATTATTGTAACCGCTAGCTCTATTCAATTTTTTCACTTAACTTTCTTTATAATTCCACTTAATCTTCATTCATGATGAATGCAATTCCCATTTCTCTTAGCCTATATACAGTTACAGCATTGTAGGAAGAATATCATGAAATGGAAGAAATAGTTTATTTGCCATACCTTCCCTTCTTCATTGTTTCATTTTCTTACATTTACTTTATATGTACTCTTCATTTTTCTCTTACTCAAATATCTGTTATTTTATAATAGATGAAATATTTCAATTTTTGTGACAAGGAAAAATGTGATGAGGATATTAAACTGCACGGACAATAATGCAGGTGAAATAAGGAGGAGAACCCACTTCTAATTTTCTTATTAATGTTCACTTGTAATTTCATCTTTTCAATTTCTTCTAAAAATTTTAAAGATTTGAGGATTGCTTGACCATAGATACTCATTTTTAAAAAAATATTTTTTAAGTTAAATTATATATTTAAAAGTGTCATCTTGATACTAAAATTATTAAAATATTTTTAAGGAAACTCTTTCTTATATTTATTTATTAATGATAATTAATAATTTCAATATTTAAATTGTACATTAAAAATGTGGTCTAGACTAAAAACATAAAACCCTACTTTACTTGTTTTTCGCTATGAAGAACTTGTAATATGTTGAATGTTACTTAAGTTTCTAATTGTACATCCATACCTTTTAGGACTCTTTTCATTCTGTAAATTCAGGGTATTTTTTGTACTAAACCCATGATTTTGTTATTAATACAGTAAATATCATATATAGAACTATACTATGTACTATTTTAGATTTACAATTATAAATATATATTTTTGTAGAAATTGATTATAGGCTTATACAATAATACT